ATGATTCGGGAATTACTAGCCTGTCATCCGATTCCTTGTCTTTCACTAGTGTGTTCTCTTTTACAATAATCCCCTCTTCTTTCATCTACGCGCGTGTTGCTGATCCTTCACTCGGGTACCACATTTCTCTGTTTGTAACCTCTTTAAGGATACAACACTTCCGTATAACCACATTTATGTTGACTATCCATCATAAACATTTAGGATGTGAAATTAGTAAATAGTAAACACTTAAAATATATCGGTCTATAGATCAGTTATTACAAATTTAGTATAGGGTATAAATAATTTGAACATAGAATAGGCTGTTCTACGGGTAGTCCGTTCAACACCGCAAATTGCTACAAATCTAAAATATCAACTCGATCCTTGTACTGAAACTGATTCGTCAAATTGAGACTTTCATATGGATGCCATGCAAGCCGCGAAAATTGTTTAGAAATATTTAAACTCTCAGCTGTACACAATCACTTTCTAAGATCATGCCTTAGCGAGTGAGGCCTATGGATCCTTACTTTTCTTTATTATATATGAATTGCTATGATTTTCTTGGAAGAAGTAGAGTTTTTGTCTCCACTTTCCTTCTCTATGATTTTGAATTTAGCGTAGTCCTGGATTTTTTTTTCATTCTAAAGACAAATTAGAACACGAGAATAATATTTCATGCCTAAAAATGTTGCTTATTCAACTTTGGTCTTTGTCACTTCATATCGAGAGGATTTAAGAGATTCTGTTCTTCTTTTCCCCTCTCAAGTAGGCGTTTATATATTTATATATCTTCCTCTCGTCGGTCAATCAACGTTTGCATATCCTAAGCGCAGCTGGTTCGATCTCCAGTTTATACGTCGAAAGCTATCAGGCGAGAATCTGAAACAGGCGGCATGGAGATGTACCTGGCTTCTCTGATGTTCTGCTTTGACACTGAGTGCAAGGTCTATTTCGGTATCATCTGGGATAACCCCCGTATATATTGGTGTCATCGAATATCAACGTCCCTCGCCATAAATGTTCCTCGTTGACATTAAATTCGATTCACTCCATACTACAGCCGAAAAGCCTTGTCACCCTCCATATTTTTCTATCTCAGATGACTGATACGAGCTCCTACAATTTGGAAGAGAGTTACGGGTGACAAAACGTTCGGACCACCCTGTACAATTCTTACAGATTGGATGCCCGTTCACAAGGCTTTAAAACCTTTTCTACCATGATATTTAACCTGTGGCTTGTAGAGAGAAGAAATGCGTTCACCCCTTTCCCAAAAGCATTACTGTGAACGGAAACGCAGTAGCCGAGACTGGAATCAGAATTCGGGTTATTCCTTTTTGATAAAAGTTAAACTCCCATGACTTTGGTAGAAGTTGTTCCTAATTCTCAATCGCCATCTCATATGCAATCTCTGCTTTTGACTTATGAAATTATTTTAAATAGAGGCACAAATGTTCTTCGCCTAATCAATATCTAGTGAAAACTTTAAAAAACGAACCAAAATTTAGATAAAAGCGAAATTTATTGTCTGAATCAATGTGCGTTTTGAAAAAAAAAGCTAACGTAAGTTATTATATAAAAAGTTATTTTTGAGCGTGTAATACAAAAGGTGATATTTACCCAAAACGGACACAAATGTTTCATAATATTTCTGCTTCTCATGTCTTTCCATGTGCATTATGCCTTATTGTAGATTGGATCAGAAGGTCTCATTATAAAAACGGAACAGCTAAAATGATATCACCGCATCCAACCGGAAGCGCTGGTTACATGGACAATATAAAAGCGAACCATCGAAGCACTGAGTCAGTTATACATTTTCTTTCTTCTGTTCGACGTCTGCTTTATACGATTTAAAACATGAAATACAATTACCGAGTTCATCATCAATGTGCTGAGAGTTAAGCTGCCAAAAATGCCATCAACCCTTTTCATCAGTTTGGTTGCCAACTCATTCTTCATTAGTTAATACGTCAGGAAAGAATCTGTACAATATAGAATATTAGTGAATTTAGCGTAGTGATTTTATTTCATCAGGAATTGTATAGAGTAAATTGATCTGTTTTTGTTTTTGTTTTTTTGTATTCTGGGCAATGAGTGCCATAGGTGTAAAAGTTTCTGGTAATGGAAAAAAATGTAGTGATGAATGAAGAGAGGATGGTTTGCGTCTTTATTTACCGCTGCTAAATAAATTGTGAGTAATAAGTTCGAAGCAAAGGATGACGTAAATGATCCTTCATCTTATAAAATACGACTTGTCTAAAGACTACATCTTCCTTGAGTAATTTCATATTTTCTTTTGTAAATGAATATATACAAGTCCACGTTATTAGTTTACAAGTTTTTCTTCTGCTTTTGTCATCGGTGTTGCTTTTTCCACATTGTATTATTTATTTGAATTTGTCGCCCGCCATTTTCCTCCTTATAGCTTTAGTTACATTCTATTCAAGACAACACATGCGTCTGAATAGTCTTAAGAACGACGACGCCACAGCAAAAGTTTTTCATTTCAATAACATTTGAACAAGATTACAATATGTCATTCGCATTTCCTATGTGCGAATCGAATTTTCCGATAAATTTATTCAGTGATTCTGATGCCTATACGATTTGGACACGCAAACACACAGGGATTACTTTTATTTAACCGGTTTTGTTTTAAAGTATAAACATTTCGTCTGACTACGCCCTAAACAGGGAAAAAATAATACAATGGCGAATGAGAGGTTCTCAACCCGATGGAAAAAATTGAAAAAAAATCAAATGTTTGGTCATTTTGTCAGAATTGGAGAAAATTGGACGTGTTTATACTCGAGACTATAGGTAAACATTTGTATTCTTTATACGTGTGTCTATAGACAAACATTGGTTGTTTTGCATTTTTTTAAAGTTTGTCTATAGGCAATAATTGGTCGGGTTTATACGTGAGACTATAGGCATAAATTTATTGGATTTACTCCTGAGCCTATAGGCAAACATTTTCGAGCTTATGTTTTGTTTTGTTTTTTGTGAGTAAATATTTGTCTGGTTTGTACTTACCTATAAATTTAAGTATAAACCAGGCAAATGTTTACAATAAATAAAACCTAAACTTGTAAATGCTTGCCTATTTACTCTGGGGCAAATCCGATAAATCTATGGGTAAACATTTGTCCTATTTATACCTGAGTCTATATGCAAGCATTGGTGTGGTTTACGTCGATGGGCAACTCGCCACTCTGTTGATATTACGTCCCACCTAATGATTTCTTTCTATTTGACCTTGAACAGTTTTTTCGAGTTTAGTAATTCTCTGCATCGTTTTGGAAGATATTTAAATATGGTTATATAAAATAAATTCTACTTCTATACTTTTCGTTGTATAATTCATAATCTAGAATAGTTTAATGTTTTTTATTATAACTGGAAGTAGTGTTATAAACCTCATGTATGTTGTAACACTCCTATGCCATAAAATCAGCAACGATCAGCCGCTCGGGGGAATGCACCCCGTTAGTGGTCCCCCTAACATACAGTACATCTCAGGGAGATTTTACAGATCTTGTTCTTAACAAAGAGTATGATCCTACTTCCTTTTCCCTTTTCAGGAACAACGTCTTTGCCCCAACTTCATGGGTATGCACTAACTACCTTCCTTTTCAGGCCCATCAATCAAGAGTGTCTCGATATGTGATGGTAAATTGCCCATATCTTCTATACATATCAACAATTCCGCGCTATAACTTTTCTTCAGGCTTATCTTCTGCACAAAACCAACTGTTCCGGTGATCTGCGAAATACCAATTATTCCAGTTATCTTCTACGCGCAACATCTGTTCCGGTATATGTTTTGGGTACATCAACTCTTCCGGTATATCCGCTGCACACATCAACTGTTCCTGTATATCTTTTGAGCATGTGGAATAATGTATTATTCCATCTACAACATTTTACGCGCGCGTGAGTTTCCTCCCTTTCTTCCACACTCGTGTGTGCGCGCGCGCGTTTGACACCCCTTTCTGCCTCTTTCGGTCTAATACAGTAGTAACTGGTTTTGTCGGCAGTCAAGCGACCTGCTATTCCTGTTTATGCAAATTAGACTTTTGAAATTTTCCCGCGAAATTTGTGACGTCACGGACAAAACGGTTGTTCAGAAAAGTTAGTTGTGATCCAGACTCGGACCTGGGCAGACTCATTTTTAGCCATGTCAATATGCAAGGTTGACAGACGAGGGATATCTTACAATGCAAATACCAAATATTAATTCTTCGTTCCCTTTTGGCTCGTCATTCAAAATTCTTCTACGAGACGATGCAAACACCAAATAATTAATTCTTCATTCCCTTTTGGCTCGTCATTCAAAATTCTTCTACGAGACGATGCAACTCCAAGTATTAACTTTTCGTCCCTTTTGGCCTCGTCATAAATCTGTTTTGAACCAGTACCAAAAAAAGAAAAAAAATATATACATAACATTTCACTCACATTAGTAAAAAAACTCGCAGTGACTATTTTTCCTTGTATGTATATTATCATGTACATTGACTTATCTGGAATATTCTTCTTCTTCAAGAACTTTTCCCGCCTTAGCCATCTTGTTTTCTATTTTGGCGCGGAACATTTTCATTGATCCCTACTACGGGATAAGTTACTTGTTTTTCCTGCATTTAATAAAAATTACTATTGTTGGAATCCAGTCTTTTTCAGTCATTCTGTGCCGGCTATCTTAATATATTTTATTTTATGCACGTGTGGATTAACCACATTTCTTCGTTGTTCATTCACGCATTTTTATTTATTTTTTACTTTGCTTGTAGACTCGGTAGTTTAGTGTGGTGTCTGGCACAAGGCCACTTAGTAATAAGCAGCACTGCACCCTACCGGGCCTGCAACAAGTTTGGTGACCCGAGACGTGAATTGAACACGCAATAATTTTGCAACCTTGCCAACATAATTCTGAGCAAGCTGAAATATAAACGTGCATAAATTCGATAGCCAGAATGACGTCTAATGACTCTGAAGAGTTGGCGAACATGACCTCCGCCGTCACTCCTTTTCTCCCCTTTCATGAAGGGAATATAAAGAACTGGTTCCTGCAAATGGAAGCTATTTTTACAGTCAGAAGGATTACAGACCAAAAAACAAAGTTTGGCCACGTGGTGGCGGTGTTGCCACCCGCCATTGTCGACGAAGTATCAGACTTCCTAGAAGCCGTTCCGGAGGTAGAACCCTACGCCCGGTTAAAAGAAGCGATCTTAAGGAGAATGGGCCGTACGGAGGAATCATTAATCCGGGAACTATTTAGCAACCTAACTTGCGATGGCAGGACTCCCTCACAACTTCTTCGTTATATGAAAAGCCGACTCGGCAAAAATACCATGGCTGACTCTATATTGAAAAGCTTGTGGCTGGACCGTCTCCCCACCACCATTACCCAAATTTTGGCGCCTATGTCCGAGAACACCCCAATCGACCAGTTAGCGGACGCCGCTGACCGTATTTTCTCGCAACTGGATCATCAGACAACGCCAGTACACAGTGCTGAAGCGATTAGTGACCACAGGTCCTTGGGAAAAACAGTGGAGGATTTGCAGCGCCAAGTTAGAGATTTAACATTAGCTCTAGAAAGCCATGGTCGAAGCCGGTTCCCTTCCCGCCGGCGCTTCAGGAGTCGACCTCGCTCGTCCAGTCGAAACAAGGATGCGACTTCTATGTGTTATTACCACCGCCGATTTGGGTCTGCAGCACACTACTGCACCAAGCCGTACCCATACTGCGGTCGCGGAAAACAAAACCGCCAGCGAGTGAAAGCGACTAATCTCGCTGGCAAGGCATTTTCACCGAAGCTTAGTCGCCTTTTCTACGTGACGGATACACGTAATAATTTACGTTTTTTGGTTGACACCGGCGCTGCCATTAGTGTCTTACCCGTGCGTGATAAAGCACGTCAACAACCTTTTCAGCTCCGCTTACAAGCAGCAAATGGTCCCAGTCTTAATACTTACGGTACGAAGTCCCTTACCCTAAACATAGGAATGCGACGAGACTTTACCTGGAATTTTACTGTTGCTGACGTCCAGATGCCGATATTAGGTGCCGATTTCCTGGCGCACTATGATCTAGCCGTTCGAATGAACAATCATTCCCTAACAGACAACTTAACAAGACTGTGTGTTCTTGGCACTTACTCTAAACTTACCACCACTGGCATCACCGTGGCAACTTGCCACAATAAAGAGTACTTAGTCTTATTGAATCAGTACCAGGACCTCCTGCGTCCTGCTGGATCTATTGATTCAACTAAACATCAAACACAACACTTTATTAAGACCACTGGTCAACCTGTTTTTCCGTCCTCGTCGTCTAGCACCTAACAAATTAAAATTCGCAAAGAAAGCTTTCGACGACATGCTACGAGAGGGTGTTATTCGTCCGTCCGACAGTCCCTACGCTTCCCCTCTTCATTTGGTACCTAAACCAGGAAAGGAAGACTATAGAATTTGTGTGGATTATAGAAGGTTGAATTCCATTACCGTCCGGGATCGTTATCCAATTCCCCATCTCCACGATTTCGCTTCTGGTTTACAAGGCGCAAAGATTTTTACTAAAATAGATCTTGCAAAAGCATATTATCAGGTGCCAGTAGCTGCTGCTGATGTCCCAAAAACTGCTGTTACTACACCATTTGGTTTATTTGAATTTTTAAAAATGCCTTTCGGCCTTTGCAACGCAGCACAGACCTTTCAACGTCTTATGGACGAAGTTCTGCGTGGACTCCCCTTCGTTTTCGATTACATTGACGACATTCTGATAGCTAGTGAGGACGCTGCCTCGCATAAGCAACACCTACACGAAGTTCTTCAACGTTTGTCTCATTACGGATTCCGTCTAAACCTGGACAAATGTGTTTTCGGATCAGACCATATAGAATTTTAGGACATCATGTCGATGCAAATGGAATTGCCCCATAACTTAAAAAGATTAAAGCTATCACTGAGTTTCCCGTCCCTGTTTCCATTAAACAGTTGAGACGCTTTATAGGGATGATCAACTTCTATCGGAGATTCATTCCGAACTGTTCTAACATTCTGACTCCCCTTACCAACTTATTACAGAAGAAGAATAAAACTATTATACTTGAGAATGAAGCCTTGACGCCTTTCGAGCAGCAAAACCGCTCTAGGCAATTTTTCTAAGCTCAGTTTCTTAGAGGACGACCCTCAATCGGATATCTACCTGACCACTGACGCTAGCGAAACAGCAATAGGCGCGGTCATTGAACAAGTCAGTCCTTCTCAACGTAAACCCATAGCGTTCTTTTCCGCTAAACTGTCTCCTGCCCAGTCACGCTACAGTACCTTTTCTCGTGAACTGTTGGATATTTTTCGTGCTATTAAGCATTTCAGACACCTCCTCGAAGGTAGGTCCTTCGTCATCTTTACGGACCACAAACCTTTAACGTCCATTATGTCCACCAATTCGGACAAATACACTTCGAGGGAAATCAGATATCTGGACTATATATCCCAATTTACTACTGATATTAGGTACATTAAGGGTTCGGATAACACTGTTGCCGATACCCTATCTCGTACTGAGATGTTCGTCGTGCATACTGATGCACTCAGTCAAGATTTGATCGCCGACGAACAGGAAGCGGACATAACTCTGAAGCATGTGTTATCCGACACTTCTTTGGAACTTCAGAAATGTCCAGCTCCTTTTAGTAACAAGGTCCTATACTGTGATGTTAGATCCAAATCCCCAAGACCTTATGTTCCTCCGTCTCTTCGTAGACAGGTTTTTTGACCACCTACACGGACTCTCACACCTGAGCAAAGAGCCACAGTTAAATTAATTTCGGACCGTTTCGTTTGGCCGAATATGAACGTTCACATTCGCGAGTGGGTCAATACATGTTTACAATGTCAGAAGTGTAAGGTGCATAGACACACAAAATCTCCTGTGGGCACTTTCAGCGAGCCTGATGCTCGTTTTACTAATATACACCTGGACTTAGTTGGGCCCCTACCAACCTGCCATGGTTATTCCTACCTTTTAACTATAGTGGATCGTTTTTCCCGATGGCCTACTGCCATCCCTGTCAAAGATACCACTGCTGTGACTGTCGCAAAAGCTATTTTACGCGATTGGATTTCGATTTTTGGGACTCCTAAAGTGGTTACTACAGATAGAGGAGCACAGTTCCAGTCGTGTCTTTTCAGGGAATTCACTGAACTCCTTGGTGCAAAGCATATACGTACTACAGCGTATCACCCCTGTGCTAATGGCCTGGTGGAACGATTCCATCGCACCCTTAAGGCTTCGCTATCAACGAAGCATGAGAATAATAATTGGGTCGATGAATTACCCCTCATCCTTCTATCGTTAAGAAATATTCTTAAGGATGACTTGAAATGCTCCCCTGCAGAGCTTGTATTTGGTACTTGGTTATCTTTACCCGGCCAATATTTTTCACCAGCTGTGACCACACCCCCAGTTTCTTTCTCTTTTATTCAGGACTTACGCCTTAAAATGGCAAACTTATGCTATACACCACCGCGGCACTGCCCGAGTGATATATATTTACCGCACCAGCTCAAGGACTGCGAGTTTGTATTTGTACGTAACGACTCTGTTAAGCGGCCTCTTACGCCGGCCTACACAGGCCCATACCGCGTTCTTAAACGCGCGGACAAATATTTCCAAATACGAAAAGGTATTCAAACCGACAACGTTTCGATAGAGAAACCGTCGTCTCATACTACTTCCCAATCAACTCCGCAAGTTCAGGAGAAATTCAAGACACATGTTTCTCTCGACAAGCCTAAGTATACCAGCTCTGGTCGAAAAGTCACCTTTCCAAAGAAATTTGAAACATTCTATTATTATTAGTTAAATGTCTGCGACATTTAATCCAGGGACGGGGCTGTGTGGAATAATGTATTATTCCATCTACAACATTTTACGCGCGCGTGAGTTTCCTCCCTTTCTTCCACACTCGTGTGTGCGCGCGCACGCATTTGACACCCCTTTCTGCCTCTTTTTGTCTAATACAGTAGTAACTGGTTTTGTCGGCAGTCAAGCGACCTGCTATTCCTGTTTATGCAAATTAGACTTTTGAAATTTTCCCGCGAAATTTGTGACGTCACGGACAAAACGGTTGTTCAGAAAAGTTAGTTGTGATCCAGACTCGGACCTGGGCAGACTCATTTTTAGCCATGTCAATATGCAAGGTTGACAGACGAGGGATATCTTACAATGCAAATACCAAATATTAATTCTTCGTTCCCTTTTGGCTCGTCATTCAAAATTCTTCTACGAGACGATGCAAACACCAAATAATTAATTCTTCGTTCCCTTTTGGCTCGTCATTCAAAATTCTTCTACGAGACGATGCAACTCCAAGTATTAACTTTTCGTCCCTTTTGGCCTCGTCATAAATCTGTTTTGAACCAGTACCAAAAAAAGAAAAAAAATATATACATAACATTTCACTCACATTAGCAAAAAAAAACTCGCAGTGAGTATTTTTCCTTGTATGTATATTATCATGTACATTGACTTATCTGGAATATTCTTCTTCTTCAAGAACTTTTCCCGCCTTAGCCATCTTGTTTTCTATTTTGGCGCGGAACATTTTCATTGATCCCTACTACGGGATAAGTTACTTGTTTTTCCTGCATTTAATAAAAATTACTCTTGTTGGAATCCAGTCTTTTTCAGTCATTCTGTGCCGGCTATCTTAATATATTTTATTTTATGCACGTGTGGATTAACCACATTTCTTCGTTGTTCATTCACGCATTTTTATTTATTTTTTACTTTGCTTGTAGACTCGGTAGTTTAGTGTGGTGTCTGGCACAAGGCCACTTAGTAATAAACCAGCACTGCACCCTACCGGGCCTGCAACAAGCACATTAACTGTTCTGGTATATCATTTGTGCACATCAACTGTTCCGGTATATTCTCTCCGCAATCACCTCTTCCGGTATATCTTTTGCGCACATCAACTGTTCCTGTATATCTTCTGCACTCATCAACTGTTCTAGTATATCTTCTGCGTATGCCAACTTTTCCGGTGAATCTTCTGCGCACATCAACTCTTCACGTATACCTTCTGTGCACATTAACTGTTCCGGTATATCTTCTGCGCACATCAACTGTTCCGGTATATCCTCTGCACACATCAACTGTTCCGGTATATCTTCTGCGCACATCAGCTCTTCCTGTATATCTTCTGCGCACATAAACTCTTCGGTATATCTTCTGCGCACATCAACTCTTGCGTTATATCTTCTGCGCACATCAACTCTTCCGGTATATCTTCTGCGAACATCAACTCTTCCGGTATAGCTTCTGCGCACATCAACTGTTTTGATATATCTTCTGCGCGAATCAGCTGTTCCGGTACATCTTCTACGCACATCAACTGTTCCGGTATATCCTCTGCGCACATCAACTGTTTTGGTATATCCTCTGCGCATATCAACTGTTCCGGTATATCCTCTGCGCACATCAACTGTTCCGGTATAGCTTCTGCGCACGTCAACTGTTTTGGTATATCTTCTGCGCGAATCAACTGTTCCGGTACATCTTCTACGCATATCAGCTGTTCCGGTTTATCTTCTGTGCACTCCAAATGATTCAGTGTAATATACCAACTGATCCTGTGCGATCATCAGCGCTAATGAAACTGTTTTCCTGGATTTATTTTTAGCACTAACAAAAAAAAAATATTCCCGTTCCTCATTTTTGGATTACCAGTTCTTGCTTTCTCCGGCACATTTTAATATCTGCATTTCTTTTAATTGTATTATTATTTTATTTTCCAATAATAAACTTTGGCATATTTTTATCTGAATTCCATGTTCTTGTTATCCTTGCCTTGGCCATTGTGTTTTTTATAGGTTTGCGAATATCGTATAATAGAGAAACCCAATTGCACGCAACACTTGGTCTGTTTTATATTTATCTCTTTGAGCCCTGCGTCCCTGAACAAACTTCGCAAATAATTGGTATGTAATGTTTCACGATAGATATAAAAATAGTTACATGTGTTTACCCACCGTTCAACCGGTGGCTGGGCATTAAGTCATTTTTCTCTACCACTGTTCAACCGGCGGCTGAGCATTACGTCATTTATCTCTACCACCGATAAAGCGGTGGTCAGGGCAGAAAGGGTTAAGTCTATAAATAAACATTATTCTGGTTTGTACTTAAGTCTATAGGCAAACATTGTTCTGGCTTATATTTAAGTCTCTGGACAAACATTGCTCTAGTTTATACTTAAGTCTATTGGTTTGTTTTGTACTTGTGACTATACGTCTAAAATACAACGATTGCATTCCCTACATTTGCCGTTCTATGGCCCAGCTGACAGGGCAAGCGATACATAATAGTTGACAACAGCGGATATGTGCCGAAATTAGGACTGTTATAAAAGATTTACAAGATGTAACGTCTAAACCAGAGAAGACCAAGACTTAAAGACGTAACAGTCAGCTACGAAAATAGTTAAAGATATGACACCTTTACACCATTTGCTTGTATACATAAATAAATTTGATTTGTTTAGATATTCCTTCAAATTGAGAAGCTTCATCATCTACGCCAATACATGTCTTTTCTTTTTATATAAAACAAATATATCCAGACATGGATGAAACAAAATGATTGTAAATAAACACGAAACTAACTTCATGCATATTCTGACTCATTTCAAAAAAATATTATTGATTTTTAGAATGTCATACTGAAGCGGACACAGATAATTATATATTTCATTCAACCAGTTCTCACCGCAATTCTTTATATTATCAAACATATTTCTTTATTTTATAGAAAATTGGAAAATTTTCGTTCCGTCTGTTTTACATTAAATTGCTGCTTAAAAATTGTTTTCAATTTCTGTTTTATTTATTTTTCTTTCTCATTCAGTGAAGTAAAATTCGTTTGGAGATATAATATAGATATCGAAACCTTCCATTCTTTGTTGTTCGCAACGACATTCACTCTCTCTGTATTTCCGCATCTATCTATCAAAAGAATAGACTGAGATAGATAGATAGATAGATAGATAGATAGATAGATAGATAGATAGATAGATGCAAAAAGAGATAGTGTATGCTTGTGTGTGAACAAGAAAGAAAGGTTTTGATAATAAAAGGTGCGATGTATAAATTGTCGTCTAAATTACGCAAAAAAAAAAAAAAAAAAAAAAAAAATGAAAAGATATGAAAGATATATTTTTACAAAAATATCTAGAAATACTAATAATTAAATTTATTCAATAAATCGCCATTGACTTCAACACACCCTCCAGACGACTTCGGAATCTTCTGAAACTCTCCTGGACGGCCTCCTTGTTTAAGTTGGTAAATGTTACAAGGAGTTTGGTGGTGCTGTCTTGGGAGTTGGATGGCCATGTGTAAGGGGTGATATGACCGGAGAAATTGTCTAACAGGCATGACTTAGTTCTTCCACTTGTGTGGCATGGTGCAGTGTGCTGTTGCCAGACATATGGTCTTCCAAAAGCTACGCACTTAATACAGTACAGCACTACCTCCTCTAGATACTTGATGTAGGCCTCCGGGTTGAGTCTGAGGCACGTGGGAAGATGAATGGAGGCATATCGTCGCCATCACTAGTGATCACCCCAAACACCTTCGTAATCACCATTAGACTCATTCAACTCTTTCTGCATCCTCTGCATTGTCCTAAGATTGACACCCAAACACTATGGAATATTCGTATTGTAACTTCCGGTGTGAATCCCAAGCAGTACAGCAAGACCATTCCAAATTTCTGCTGGAGGGAATTGCGTAATGGTGCTCTTTTTCTCACAGACGGTGCCCAACAGACCCTACTATACTGTACAGTCGACAAAATCAAAAACAAACAACGCACATGCACGAAATAAAAAAAACATAATATGGTGAGAATTTACACATCGCACACTGTAATTATATGCACATATACATATATGTATATGATTATCTCTGTCTGTCTAGCTATACATTTCTATCTATCTCATTCTGTTTATATCTATCGGAGTATGTTCATGTCTATCTATCAACGTGAATCTATTCATGCTTATCTATCTATGTATCTATCTATATATATATATATATATATATATATATATATATATATATATATATATATATCTGTTATCTATTCTATCTATCTATCTATCTATCTGTTACTATCTATCTATCTTATCAATCTTTCATTCTGTTCCTATCTTATCTATCTTTCATTCTGTTCCTATCTATCTATCTATCTATCTATCTGTTACTATCTATCTATCTTATCAATCTTTCATTCTGTTCCTATCTTATCTATCTTTCATTCTGTTCCCATTCTATCTATCTATCTATCTATCTATCTATCTATCTGTTACTATCTATCTATCTTATCAATCTTTCATTCTGTTCCTATCTTATCTATCTTTCATTCTGTTCCTATCTATCTATCTATCTATCTATCTATCTATCTATCTATCTATCTATCTATCTATCTGTTACTATCTATCTATCTTATCAATCTTTCATTCTGTTCCTATCTTATCTATCTTTCATTCTGTTCCTATCTATCTATCTATCTATCTATCTATCTATCTATCTATCTATCTGTTACTATCTATCTATCTTATCAATCTTTCATTCTGTTCCTATCTTATCTATCTTTCATTCTGTTCCTATCTATCTATCTATCTATCTATCTATCTATCTATCTGTTACTATCTATCTATCTTATCAATCTTTCATTCTGTTCCTATCTTATCTATCTTTCATTCTGTTCCTATCTATCTATCTATCTATCTATCTATCTATCTGTTACTATCTATCTATCTTATCAATCTTTCATTCTGTTCCTATCTTATCTATCTTTCATTCTGTTCCTATCTATCTATCTATCTATCTATCTATCTGTTACTATCTATCTATCTTATCAATCTTTCATTCTGTTCCTATCTTATCTATCTTTCATTCTGTTCCTATCTATCTATCTATCTATCTATCTATCTATCTATCTGTTACTATCTATCTATCTTATCAATCTTTCATTCTGTTCCTATCTTATCTATCTTTCATTCTGTTCCTATCTATCTATCTATCTATCTATCTATCTGTTACTATCTATCTATCTTATCAATCTTTCATTCTGTTCCTATCTTATCTATCTTTCATTCTGTTCCTATCTATCTATCTATCTATCTATCTATCTGTTACTATCTATCTATCTTATCAATCTTTCATTCTGTTCCTATCTTATCTATCTTTCATTCTGTTCCTATCTATCTATCTATCTATCTATCTATCTATCTATCTATCTATCTATCTGTTACTATCTATCTATCTTATCAATCTTTCATTCTGTTCCTATCTTATCTATCTTTCATTCTGTTCCTTCTATCTATCTATCTATCTATCTATCTATCTATCTATCTATCTATCTGTTACTCTCTATCTATCTTATCAATCTTTCATTCTGTTCCTATCTTATCTATCTTTCATTCTGTTCCCTATCTATCTATCTATCTATCTATCTATCTATCTATCTATCTATCAATCTTATCAATCTTTCATTCTGTTCCTATCTTATCTATCTTTCATTCTGTTCCTATCTATCTATCTATCTATCTATCTATCTATCTGTTACTATCTATCTATCTTATCAATCTTTCATTCTGTTCCTATCTTATCTATCTTTCATTCTGTTCCTATCTATCTATCTATCTATCTATCTGTTACTATCTATCTATCTTATCAATCTTTCATTCTGTTCCTATCTTATCTATCTTTCATTCTGTTCCTATCTATCTATCTATCTATCTATCTATCTATCTATCTATCTGTTACTATCTATCTATGATATCAATCTTTCATTCTGTTCCTATCTTATCTATCTTTCATTCTGTTCCTATCTATCTATCTATCTATCTATCTATCTATCTATCTATCTATCTATCTATCTGTTACTATCTATCTATCTTATCAATCTTTCATTCTGTTCCTATCTTATCTATCTTTCATTCTGTTCCTATCTATCTATCTATCTATCTATCTATCTATCTATCTGTTACTATCTATCTATCTTATCAATCTTTCATTCTGTTCCTATCTTATCTATCTTTCATTCTGTTCCTATCTATCTATCTATCTATCTATCTGTTACTATCTATCTATCTTATCAATCTTTCATTCTGTTCCTATCTTATCTATCTTTCATTCTGTTCCTATCTATCTATCTATCTGTTACTATCTATCTATCTTATCAATCTTTCATTCTGTTCCTATCTTATCTATCTTTCATTCTGTTCCTATCTATCTATCTATCTATCTATCTATCTGTTATTATCTATCTATCTTATCAATCTTTCATTCTGTTCCTATCTTATCTATCTTTCATTCTGTTCCTATCTATCTATCTATCTATCTATCTATCTATCTATCTATCTATCTATCTATCTATCTATCTGTTACTATCTATCTATCTTATCAATCTTTCATTCTGTTCCTATCTTATCTATCTTTCATTCTGTTCCTATCTATCTATCCATCTATCTATCTATCTATCTGTTACTATCTATCTATCTTATCAATCTTTCATTCTGTTCCTATCTTATCTATATTTCATTCTGTTCCTATCTATCTATCTATCTATCTATCTATCTGTTACTATCTATCTATCTTATCAATCTTTCATTCTGTTCCTATCTTATCTATCTTTCATTCTGTTCCTATCTATCTATCTATCTATCTATCTATCTATCTATCTATCTGTTACTATCTATCTATCTTATCAATCTTTCATTCTGTTCCTATCTTATCTATCTTTCATTCTGTTCCTATCTATCTATCTATCTATCTATCATCTATCTATCTATCTATCTATCTATCTGTTACTATCTATCTATCTTATCAATCTTTCATTCTGTTCCCATCTTATCTATCTTTCATTCTGTTCCTATCTATCTATCTATCTATCTATCTATCTATCTATCTGTTACCTATCTCTATCTTATCAATCTTTCATTCTGTTCCTATCTTATCTATCTTTCATTCTGTTCCTATCTATCTATCTATCTATCTATCTATCTATCTATCTATCTATCTATCTGTTACTATCTATCTATCTTATCAATCTTTCATTCTGTTCCTATCTTATCTATCTTTCATTCTGTTCCCATCTATCTATCTATCTATCTATCTATCTATCTGTTACTATCTATCTATCTTATCAATCTTTCATTCTGTTCCTATCTTATCTATCTTTCATTCTGTTCCTATCTATCTATCTATCTATCTATCTATCTATCTATCTATCTATCTATCTGTTACTATCTATCTATCTTATCAATCTTTCATTCTGTTCCTATCTTATCTATCTTTCATTCTGTTCCTATCTATCTATCTATCTATCTATCTATCTATCTATCTATCTGTTACTATCTATCTATCTTATCAATCTTTCATTCTGTTCCTATCTTATCTATCTTTCATTCTGTTCCTATCTATCTATCTATCTATCTATCTATCTATCTATCTATCTATCTATCTGTTACTATCTATCTATCTTATCAATCTTTCATTCTGTTCCTATCTATCTATCTTCTATCTATCTATCTATCTATCTATCTATCTATCTGTTACTATCTATCTATCTTATCAATCTTTCATTCTGTTCCTATCTTATCTATCTTTCATTCTGTTCCTATCTATCTATCTATCTATCTATCTATCTATCTATCTATCTGTTACTATCTATCTATCTTATCAATCTTTCATTCTGTTCCTATCTTATCTATCTTTCATTCTGTTCCTATCTATCTATCTATCTATCTATCTATCTATCTGTTACTATCTATCTATCTTATCAATCTTTCATTCTGTTCCTATCTTATCTATCTTTCATTCTGTTCCTATCTATCTATCTATCTATCTATCTATCTATCTATCTATCTATCTATCTGTTACTATCTATCTATCTTATCAATCTTTCATTCTGTTCCTATCTTATCTATCTTTCATTCTGTTCCTATCTATCTATCTATCTATCTATCTATATTTCTTTTTGTTCCCATCTTTCTATCCATATATATTTTACTCTGTTCGTAGCTATTTGTCTATGTGTCGCTTCTGATCATTAGTTTTCAATAAACACTTTTCGCCTTCAGATCACCCAATACCCAACACTACGATTTATTTTCTTGGTTTACGTTGGACCTGCCGATTGTGATGTCTGGTTCCTGTTCAACAGAAACTTTTTTTTTTACTTTACTACCCATAATTATACTAATTAACCAAATAATAAAGTTTTTGTTTATTTGCTGTATTTTTTTTTTTTTTTTACATCACCCTTTTATGCGAATGTTGTTCTCAAGTCGGATTATGATTTTTATTTACTTTTATCTCCATCTTGACCCGCAATGAAAGACAACTAAGCTCTTCCGGATCACAGCACGCAAGTTCTCATTTTTTTTTTTCACACATGCCCCAAAGCATGAAACGGGTTACTGCTGCTGATAGGGTTATTGATGCATATGTGTGTAGCGAAAATTTTTAACTTGTGCTGCAAATTCAAAGAAATATTAAAATCCGTCAGTGTGCCGAAACGTACCATAAGAAAATGTTTCCCGTTTTAAGCAGATCTCGTTCCGAGTTCCAAATTGAGAAAATTTTCATTAATTCCAAGCAGCCTTCCGTATGTAAACAGAAGGAATGGCTGGTAGGACTTAATAATAGCGTATTAGTGTTTCTTTTATCTTTAGTTTGTTTTTGTTGATAAAATTATTCACTTATTTTCCTTTTGTTTTAAGTTCATATTTTAAATATGTCAGTGATATCTGATGATTTTCTAAGCGTAGCTTAGATGTGGCACACGGCCAAAAGTTTAGGACACCCAGTGAGGATTAAGCTCACTACGTAATTTTTTTAATTTGTAGTTTTAATTGCTCTAGCAAGACAAGCTTGTTAACTATTACACCACTTTATAAATAAACATATATAAGTACGTTTATGAAACTGATGAGGTGAAAGGAAGAGGTTTCATCGAAAAAGCAGATCTTTAAATAAATAAGTTCAGCTCAATGGTGCAAGACAAATTTATTTACGAAATGTGAATAACTCCCTGATTTTTGGTAATTTTTTGTTTCGAGGTTTGCAGTTGTTGCGAAGCAAGCTAAAAAAAAACTTTGATTTAAAATTTTAATTTCTTGTACTGAATTAATATTTGCCATAAGTAACTTTACCTTAATTGGTGTAAATGAACAGAAAAGATCCTAGCTCAGTTTGACATTCTAAGAGTTTCTTGCATAATTTATTTTAATCTTTTTAAAGTTGTATTACAATGATTCTTTGCTTTAAGGTGTCTGCTCAACATTCGTTTGTGTCATTCTGCTATTCTGAACTAGTAAATGCTTTTCAGGTTAAATTCTAAAAAACCCTTAACTAATTTCATTTTTCTTGGTAGTCTGATTCAAGCTTACGCCATCTAAACATTCACTGCTAAATTGAAAATAAGTTTATTTTCATCGACGAGATTGGGAGTGGTACGTTTTTATTAATATCACTGAATTTTAAGGTAAGCATTAATTTAATCATCACGTCGCATCAGACATATTCACACATTCTATTCAACAAAGAAACCGATTTAAAAATGTCATTATTTTCGCTGTTGGCAGTTGTGTAACGTGAGTTCTCTTGTTGGATTTTAAAACATTTTAAATAAGATCTCGCCGTGATATTCTTCACGGCGTGGGTGGAAATTTTTCAGAAAATCGATTTTAGGGGATTTTTTTTATTGGATATCATGTTCAATTTTTGTTTACTTGTATATAAGATTTATAGTTCGTGAGCGAAACACCAAAATCGGCACCAAACTAGGATTAAAAGTCTCCCTATGACGTTCTAATAAAATTTATATAAAATTAGAAAAGTTCAAACACCTTCCTCGTCTTTAGAACAGGAGTGGATATTTATCCCTTGTCTCTCGTTTAGAATTGGGTTTCCACTTACATACATTTTCTCATTCTCTTTCACTCTAAGTAGCCTCTTGCATCACAATGGTGTTATCGCCATATTTGGGGTGAAATGATTTAAAGAGAAAAAGGTAAACGAATATTTTGGTTTACACCTTTTAGTCTTTCTGCAGATATTTTGATGGCGGATGTTTCAGCTTCGTTTTTCAAAACAATGACAAAATAGATGTCATTTTTAAAATGGAAAAAATTCTCAAATCTAAGGCAATGCACAATAATGCAAAATGTACATCTTTGTTTAAATATTTAAATTTATTTTTTCTGGAAGCAACTGCTTTCTTCATTGCGTTTCAAATGTTCTATAATTATTATTTACATTGACTAGACATTGGCGAATTCTCGTTAGCCTTAGTTTATATCTCATTATTAAACCATTGCGTAAAAATACATGGGAGACAACTCGGTACTTTGATAACATCGAGGTGATATATATTCTACTTAAATTGTTGTCAAGGCTCTTGCTGTTGCAATTAGATTTCTTTTACTTGTTTTTTTTTTACGCGAATTCACACCATGCAAGGTAGTAAAGTCACAAGGATTTACTAGGTGTGAAAGAATTAGAAAACAAAGGCACTGCTGAGGAGCAAGAGCAATAGAAGAGTTATCAGGAAGACAATAGATAACGATTGACATGCATTTAAATTTTTGATGGTCAAAGTTGTCTAGAAAACATGGCGACGAAAAAAGTTCCACAAGCGAGAAGTACGAGAAAAGAAACTGTTAGCATAAAACTTATGGTTACATGTAGCCAATTCAATTGTAAATTGGTGAGATTTGTTGACAATTTAGTACTTAAATTCATAAAGTCTAGGTACCATATCGAAGAATGATATTTATTTCTGCTATGTACAGAAAATGTGACAGAAAGCCAAAAAGGGGAATAGTGAAAAAGGTCATCATCTGTCTTAGCATTAAACTTAGCTAGCCACAAACACTGACCCAAACATACAAAAATATTCCTTACACCAAAACAACGCATTCTTACTTACCTTTCTTACTACATCTACCATAATACCGCAATGTCCCAGTGAAAGTCCTAACTAGTCCCCATATGTTCAATTCATTGTCTGTGGGAGGAGGAATGAAATAGCAAAATAGCGAAGAGTTCAACTGAACAATTGGGAAAGTGAATGGAGCCGAGACACTGATTTTTCTTTGGACTTTATCAAGAATCTCTAAATATACAGCGGGAGCACTGGACAATGTGTGGCAGCAACATTCGAGGCATGGACGAATGGTAAACTTCTATTAATAGATCCAAGTTTTTACTGTCCCTTTAGTATCGTTTTTTACGTTAATAATACACGTATGCTATTACAAAATATTTTTAGCAAGAACTATTAGATATTAATGATATTGCAACGGAGCCATAGGCATTACCAAAATTAGAGAAAGACAGCCAAGATAGAAAAAATGAGACAAAAACAATAGTTTCAGTGTGAGACCAAAGAAGCACCACACGATACAACAGAGGCCTTCAAAGTAATTTTCTACTGCACTACATAAAATAAGGCTATACAATATATAAAATAAATTCCAACAGCTGTAACTATCGTTTCCTGTATGGCATACACTACAGTACAAAAGTTTGATTTTTTTTTAAATTGGCCCCCAAAAGAGTTCTATTGTAATTTAAATAAGAGAACATTATTAAACATGTTTAAAAAAGTGAGACATTATTTCTTTATTAGAAATTTTAATATGACAAAAAAAAGTATTTTATGATTAAATTTTGCTCTCGTTAAAACATCCTCCTTTAGCCTTGAATACTGCAGCAAAAAGTTTTGACATTCGTTGCAAAAGTTTCTGAAATTATAAGTTTGATAATTGATTCCATTTTTTTTTCAATGACTCCATGAGCCCTTTTTTATTTTTATTTTTACTCTTCTGTCAAGTTCATCCCATGCTAATTCCGGGGTTATCTTCAAACCTTTGAATTGTAGTGTATATCATCTGCCGTTTCGACTTGAAGGCACATTGTAAATCGGTGGCACGTCTCCAAACCTGTTCATCTGCTCTGGCTCATTTGTGTTTCTTTAACACCCACAGAGTAGAACCAACTTGTAATTTATACTGTAACTATTCCGAGCCGACCATAGTTTCAATTAAAGAATGTGCCCCAATAGAGTGACATACGGTTTTGAATTCAGTACTCCTCCTATTTAATTGCATAATTGAGGAGAGAATAGATGGATTCCTAGCATTCCCAAGGGTATTTTCGCGGAAGTGAATATAACGATTTCGATAAGAAATCGAACACAACACGCCGATTTCTCGTTCCCAGCCTGTAACACTTACACCACCTGCACATGTTTATATGACGCATTTGGCGGATATAGGGTGAATTCAACATCTGTTAATTTTACGGCAATACGCGCTTAAAAGCCTTAGGCAGTTTTGATCAACATTTCTTTTCATGGTTAGCCGTAAGGAATTGTAAATGTAGGACTACCTTACACTTCAGTAAAATAACAATTATAATATTTATTAAGAATTTATTACAGGAAATACCAAGTTTTAATGAAACGTTGTTGACGATTATGCATTTAATTAGATAACAAGTAAATAAAAATAATATAAATTTTGATGTTATATTTGATTTTCTGTTAAGTATTTTTCATTTTCTCCTTTGTTATTGGCAGCATTTTAGAAAACTTTGGCTGCAGTGTTAAATTTTCTAAGTTGAAAAAACTGGAGCTATTTCGTTTACGCTTTGTTACCTCTCTTTTCCATTGTTGTTTTTAGATCGCTTTCTTTCAGGCATTTTAATGGCCAATAGAGAAATTCTGAAATTTAAAATAATCTTATTCCATTTCAAAAATAAAGCCTGTTAAAAGTAATATCCTGAATTAATATACGCCCAAAAATAAAATGCGTTTGGCAAAAATCCTTAATGATTTCACTATGATTATGTAACAATAATGTATTGATATTCCGAAGACAAATTTACGGTTATATCTTCTTAATCTCATTGCATGGTTATGAACTATAAACTTAAATTGAGCTTAAAAATATTGTGTAATTGGCTCTAATTTT